GGTCGCTTCGGCTCCGGCAGCAGCAGCCAGTCGATGATCTGGGTCACGCGCTGCTCGTACGGCACCTTGCTGTCGTACCGCTTGTAATGCGTCGGCAGACGACCGGGCACCTCAGAGCCCGGCCAGAAGAAGACCGCCGACACACCGCCCTGAAACGACGCCAGGAAATCAGCTCATGTTCTGGGACCGGCACAGAGGCACGGAGGCCGCTCGACGGTTGGATTAATTGCATGCTGAACGTTAGCGTCATCTTGGGCGCTGCGGCTTGGTCTCAACTCGATTTTATTCCACTCTTTCCACGCACCTCCGCCGCCTCATTGTATGTCAGCCATCCAACCCCTAACAGGAATGTGTCCACGGCGAATCATGCCGAAGGTCATCCTTGATGCCCTTTTTACCAGGCATAATAGCTGCGTGCGTCGACCGCCGCACGATAGCTGCGTGCGTCGACCGCCACATGATAGCTGCGCGCGACGACCGCCGCATTGCGCTGCCACGTGTGTCCCCAGGTCACGTGACCAGACGAGAGACTAGGTTCCTGGTCACGTGACCGGGCTGCTGGCGCCGTGCCAAGCGTTGAAGCCGAGCCGAACCCAGCCTGAATGCATGCACGGAAGCGTGGCTCGGCGCTGAATGGCGCGTCTGGTCCGGATACTCCCCCTCCCATGTACAGGACGTGACTGTTGGAGCGGCTGCACTCGTTATCGGACCATGAAATGTCAGTCATCATCACCAGGACTCATCGACTTGGACTGCGAGATAAACGTTGAGACCGGCTGGCCCAGCATTTTATAAATGCATGCATCATGCAAGAATATAATGCATGTGCATCCCTTTCAGCGCGTAGAACGCATGGTACGAATAGATATTACACATTAAACACGATACTCATTATTATTGTACAGCAGTGTGAAATTGCAGACGCAAAAGTAATCAGATTTTGTTCACAAAGTTGTGTGCAGCTGAGAGTAAACTGGAGACAACGAGAAGTGATTACGCTTCATGAAAATGTGTTGAAAAATGTTATAAAATGGAGCATTTCGTAACAGCGAACAATGGCAGCAGGCTGCTGTGCTCCGCCAAGTCTGCGGAAGTGTGGTGCGATGAACATACCATCTTCCGCACCGGTCTCCCCACACCGGCTCGGCACGCCACCAGACGGGCCGCAGGCTCTCTTGCTTGCCCAGCTTGAAGCGGCGGCCAGGCAGCGCCGTGTCGTACATCCTGTTGCCGACGATGCCGTTCGACTCCGGATACATGCCCTGCGGAGGTAGCACGGCGCCGCCTTACATGGTGTGGGAGCGTGCGACTGAGGCGGGGCCTCCCGCGAACTGTTCGACTCCTTCAGCGTCGCAAACATGAGGGAGGCTGAAAACCAGCGGTAACAGCGGGCAGCAATCCGTCTGATGTGCAACCGTTGGTCCATTGTGGCCGTAGTCTACTCTTTATTCGCAGCAGTGGGGGTTTTATTGCAGTCGCGTTCGCACGCGTGCACCTACATCCACACGCACACCTACCTTCACGCGCACATCTGAGCACGGCATTACGCAAGTCAGAGCACACCAATGAACGCCATTCACCGATGTATTCAACATCCACACCCCATCTGGCGAGGTACAGCACTGAGTTGGATACGGGAGGAGCGCAGCGTCCACCAAGCCGTTAGGGTGTCCCGGAACGTCCAGTCACTTGATTCAGCTCTGAACGCACGACCAGGAGTCGGGCCCACTGGGCCTCAAAGGACCCTCAGGGGACCCCCAGGGGATCCCCAGGGCTACAAGCGGTCGGGTCAACTTTGAACAGGCATGGTAGGAGCCTAGCGCCCGGATCGTCCCTCCCCGATCCTCTCACCGTGGCGATGCTGTAGTGGTTGGGGAACGTCTTGCTGGGAAATGAGGTGCGGACGTAGGGCGCCGTCACACCGCAGTCCAGCATGTCCTGCAGCATGGGCGACACGCCGAAGTGCAGGTAGTCGTACCGGAATCCGTCCAGCGAGACGACGAGCAGTGGGCGTGGCCCGGCCGGGCACCGGTCCGGGGTGGGCGGGCAGGCGCCGGTCCGCCGCCAGCGCAGCAGCGGCCGGCGCACGGCCGGCTCCGGTGCCTTGCTGCGGCCGCACACCACCGCCAGATGGATCACGACTGCCAGCAGCACCAGCACCAGCAGCCCCAGCAGCTGCGGGGAGCGGCAGTCAGCGGAGTATCAGCGACTGGCGAGGCCTCCACAGGGACCTCGACCTCGAGGGACGACAGAGCCTCGGCGGATGAGGAAAGGCAGGTGGAACGGCGTCAGGGAGGAGGAAGCAGGTAACGGACGTCATAGGACCGGCGCGGACTGATGCCGGCGCGGAGAGTCTGGCGGGACAGGCAACAACTGCGGACACCAGGGATTGAAGGCGAAAGGCAGCTCGCATCTCAGAATTGGAAGGATTTAGGCAAACCAAAGACGGAACCATGCATAACTTTGAATGGGTTGTGCCCCTTGTTTAATACTTTAACATGTGGCCTATGAGAGCAACGATATTCCATGCAAAGTGTTACTTATAATCAACTCATTCCTCCACATCACGCAACTGCCATTAACAGCGTCGCTCCTGACGCAGGCCAAGCATTATCGACTGCGGGAGAACAGACACCGGTAACAGGGGCTGACGAGAGCAAGCAATGTCCGAGTACAGTCAGGGATCTGTTTGACGGGATGTCTAGCCAACTGGATGTGAGCAATTGTGTACTGATCACCATAAACTGGCGCTTCACGCTTACAGCATTAACCGCGTCTACGCAAGTGGATCGTTAACAGCGTCTTCCAATCTGTTCGGACACCAAGGATTGTCGGTAAATGCATTTTAGCATGGAGAGTAAGGCGAGTTTGCTTTAATATCCCTGGCGTGGATACCACAATGAACTGGTTGCCCACATGCTGCTATCAATGAGCACACGCCTATGCATTCCAGATCTTCACAGCGTTCTTCAAGAAGGTGACTTTACTGAGCATGAGTAACCTCACTGTCGCAGTCCTCCTCCACATACCAGCTTGTATGGGTTTTGCTGGTTCTGCACTAGGTGTGGCGCAGAAGTGGCCGTTTTTGTGTGCCAATATGTAATACAAAAGTTACCTCTCAAAACAGGGATTCTAATTATAGACTTTGGGAGGTGATGGATTTGTTTACCCTTACTTTGAAGAGGGATTAGGCAGGTTTAATTGCAGCTGTATGTACCCCAGATATGTGGTACATCAAGCACCACTCGCCACCCAAATGTTTAGAAATGCTATGTTTTTAGAGAAGAGCGCACGGTTGGAAATACAAAGCGAACCACTCAACACGCCTGAAACTTATTCCTTACCAGAAACGTCAGGTTTCGTAAGAGCCTTCGCCGCCGTCGAGCTTTGCTTCCGTGGAGTAGGTTCCCGCCTGCTGTCTCTGAAGCTGGCTCAGACACGGCCAGAGATTGACGCGACTCCGTCATCTGCGCGGCAGTGACGTGTGATGAGGCAAGGCACCCGCTGCAGCTTACAGTAGCGTGTGGTGAGGCAAGACACCCGCTGCAGCTTAACGTAGCGTGTGGTGAGGCAAGACACCCGCTGCAGCTTAACAGTGGCGTGTGGTGAGGCAAGACACCCGCTGCAGCTTAACAGTAGCGTATGGTGAGGCGGGACATCAGCTGCAGCTTAGCAGTAGCGTGTGGTGAGGGCAAGACACCCGCTGCAGCTTAGCAGTAGCGTGTGGTGAGGCAAGACACCCGCTGCAGCTTAACAGTAGCGTGTGGTGAGGCAAGACACCCGCTGCAGCTTAACAGTAACGTGTAGTGAGGCGGGACATCAGCTGCAGCTTAGCAGTAGCGTGTGGTGAGGCAAGGCACCCGCTGCAGCTTAACAGTAGCGTGTGGTGAGGCAAGACACCCGCTGCAGCTTAACAGTAGCGTGTGGTGAGGCAAGACACCCGCTGCAGCTTAACAGTGGCGTGTGGTGAGGCAAGACACCCGCTGCAGCTTAACAGTAGCGTATGGTGAGGCAAGACACCCGCTGCAGCTTAACAGTAGCGTGTGGGTGAGGCGGGACATCAGCTGCAGCTTAGCAGTAGCATGTGGTGAGGCGGGACAATCAGCTGCAGCTTAGCAGTAGCGTGTGGTGAGGCAAGACACCCGCTGCAGCTTAGCAGTAGCGTGTGGGCGAGGCGGGACATCAGCTGCAGCTTAGCAGTAGCGTGTGGTGAGGCGGGACATCAGCTGCAGCTTAGCAGTAGCGTGTGGTGAGGCAAGACACCCGCTGCAGCTTGGCAGTAGCGTGTGGTGAGGCGGGACATCAGCTGCAGCTTAGCAGTAGCGTGTGGTGAGGCAAGACACCCGCTGCGCTTAGCAGTAGCGTGTGGTGAGGCGGGACATCAGCTGCAGCTCAGCAGTAACGTGTGGTGAGGTGGGACACCAGCTGGAGGGGTGGGGTTGGGGGTGGGGGTGAGGGTCGGGGGGGGGGGGGTAGCAAGTAACCTATTCCCTCCTCATGCTTTGATGTGGCAAGAATCCCTTTTTGCTGCTCCATGATTTCAGAGAGTCTAGAAGGGACCCTCAGATGTTTGGAAGTAACTCGCTCATTGTGTTACCAAAGTCAGCGCAGAGGGCCCGCCCGGTTCTGGAAAGCGTGCATCTTAGGCTCAGAAAAGAAACGTCTAGAATCCGGAGAAGGCGCATCTTAGATTGAAAAGGGTCCATTTCAAGACAATAAAACGCCTGTCAGTTTCCGGCAAAAGAGGGGTCCACTTCTGTTTTGAGACATCCCCATCGCAGACTCGGAAGGGAGCATCGCAGACTCGGAAGGGAGCATCATCGCAGACTCGGAAGGGACCGTCTCGGATCAGGAAAGGCTGATCGCAAAACTCAGAGAGGGCCACCCTCAAGGTTGGAAAGAGTACATCACCGGCCTGAAAAGACCCCATCTAGGTGCGTAAAAAGTTCGTCACAGGCTCTGAAAGTGGCCCGTTTTGTCTGGAAAAGCTCCATCCAAACCGAGAGAGGGATCTTATCCGTTCAGTTCAGGGCTCATCCTAGACCAAGAAAGTGAGCATTTCAGGAAAGGAAAAAATTCGACTCATCTCTTAAGCCCGGGAATACCTTATCTCAGATCCGAAAGGTCCCACCTGTCTTGAAAAAAGGCTTTCTCTGATTATACGATGTACCACTTTCAGACATGCGAGAACCGAGGACCAATTCTTAATATGCGAGTGATCAGCGATTTTGGATTAATTGTTATGACGTTCCAGGATCCCCAGCTCCGGAAGCCTTCTCTGCCGCGCGAGATGCCGGTGCCAGCGTGAAGCGCACGGTGGTACCTTCTGCAGCAGCCGTCATTCCCGTTAAATGAATGTTGCGTGCCACAACAGGTGTACCCAGTGCCCCCCACTAAAGCACCTCCAGCACACCTGCGGTCTCATATTAGCTTGAGTCTGTCTCCGGGAGACATGTGGTGGAACTGCTGCCGCTCCAGCAGTTGGTGCTCCCGCAGAGAGCATGCCCGGCGGAGCGGGCGTTACCACGGCTTGAGCGGCCAGCGTCGTCCGCCGAGACTCACCGTGGCTCGCGACTGGAGCCCGTTCACTTGACCGTGCCGGCCCGCTCGCCTGCCGTCCTTGGCTGCGCCAGCGATCTGACCGTGCGGCACAGTGTTGCTCTGGGAGAGCGCAGCTGCCCGCGACGGCACCTCTTCTCAGCCAATGATCCACGCCTGACGGAGTCGGCCTGCGTACGGGAGCTCGAACTTCCCCGGTCCGCACGCCAGGCCAGACTAATCGGCAGCTTGGCCAGGCAACACTAATCGGCAGCTTGGTCACGAATGAAGCACATTGGTAGCTGCGGCGCGAGTGGCGCTGAGACTGTGGGAGGTCAGGGTGCCAACGGCGGCGGAGACTGGGAGGTCAGGGTGCCAACGGCGGCGGAGACTGGGAGGTCGGGATGCCAACGGCGGCGCAGACTGTGGGAGGTCAGGGTGAAAACGGCGGGGGAGACTGGGAGGTCAGGGTGCAAACGGCGCCGCAGACTTCGCGGGATACACGAGTGAGCGCGGCCAGGTGCAGTCAGCTGGAATCGCTATTGAGCTTGAGTGGGGAGCGAAAAATTTAACCACAAAAAGGCCGTAAAGGAGTGAAAAGTTAAATTCACAGTAGCTGGAGCTTATGAGTCAGTGAGAATGCCCTGGCTTACAAGGACATACATATTAATTTGACGTGGCATCAACCTTACAAGCATGACAAAAATGTTGTTGTTGTCTCACATCTTCGGTCATTGCACTAAAACATAAGACATAAAAGAAAATGTATCTCGTAATAGTGAGATGAGCACCAAAAGCTTTGTAACACAAATGTGTTGATGCTATGTTTTGCACTTCCTTCCACAGGATTTTTTAAAACATAAAACACGCTCTTGAATCATATTATGTTCCTTTCCTTTTCGCTTTAAAGATCCATCCAAGGCTCCTCCATTGAACCAGTTCAGTTCCCGACAGAAGACAGCCCTGTTTACTCATTCATTGTCATTAAAGATCCTGATATTCCGGGCGCAGATATAACGAAGCCAGTGACCTGTTCCTGACAACCGCAACAAGCTACGGGTTCAGCGGCTTGCAATCACGTCTGACCGGCTGTCCGACTAATCGTTCTATTACATTCGTATAGTGTTGTTGGACGTAAACAGGTCACCTGTGAATTGGTTCCATATCACATAGGATGAGTGGAGCCAAGCACTTCTGGTGCATCGCCTGATCCCAAATGCACGTCCGTCCAGGCATCTGTCAGTGGCCTATACTGAAATTGTACTCTGCGCCTATGTGGCGTGTGCAAATAGGGCAGTGTGGCATCAAGTAAATACGTTCGATATTGTCTGGTAATAAATCGTGGTGTGCACTGCAACATTCAATGCTGGTGATTCGTGCATTCCTTTTAATCATACGTTTAAAGTACTTTACTCGGCACGTAGGCCAGGTGGTGGGCGATTGCCGCCCCGTATAGCATATGGTCGTATATGGTCTTATAGTATACCCTCATTTATGAGAGGAAACGTACATGGATGGGCCAGGAGGCGTATTGTGAAAATATATGCTGCGAAGTTTCCCACGTTTTACTTAACAGTGAAAAGCGCATTTCTGGCACAATCGAGACTGCGGATGACCATTCCATGGCAAAGCGTTATAAAAAAACATTTGTATGGATCAGGAATCTCACATTCGTCAAATCATAACTGCACAGAAAAACGCCTATTTGAGGACGGTAACGAATATTTTGTCAACATCACCTCAGAGCGCTACACCGCTATCGCTCTGATACCCTTATTGGCGGTCCCGGGGTGGCTTCGCGGGATCGATGGGGGCAAGGGGTGGTCCCAGCAGGACGGGGCGACACCGTACACTGCTGCAGATACGCTTGTTCCCGCTGAGGGAAGCATGTCCTATATTCCCTTTTTGCTCATATGCATTGAGGGGAGCCAGAGGAGCATTGAGGGGGATAAGTCGGCATGGGGAAGGGGAGGAGGCTCAGACTCCGTAAAGTATATATAGTGACGCCGCTAACATTCATGCTTCATAATCATATATGTATACGCCAACAAGGACAAAGTTTAAAGGTTAGGACAGGTGTACGCCTTTCAAGGTTGGGATCAGGTCACCATGTGTGACATTTCTGCAGTTGCACGTGATGTGGATGACGTGGGCGCAAACACATGCTGACCGACAGGCAGCAGGGGACGAGAGGGAAGACGGTGCTGTATACATCAGTTTTGACACCAGCCAAGTTGACGTTACATGACAGTCACTGTCCAAATGAAGGTTCGTTATTGCGCAAAGGAACATGCGTTCTGAGCATTAACGTCTCATGATTGATTCCGAAGAAGGGGGATGACTGGCCAAACATCCAGCAAGTGAGCTGACTCATGAAAACGTCCGCACGCTATGGAAAAGCCCTGAGCTTCAAAGAATCTTACGCCGTTCCCATAGGGATCAGAGATCGTGGCGAGAAGATGGAGGTGACATCGCGAACAGGTGGTGACAGTGGTGGTGCCAACAATCGTGACGACACTGATGGATGGCACGCTGACATGGTAGTTGCAAGATAGACATGGCTGTTTTAACATGGAATAGGTGAGCATTACATGTGCTAAGTTTCTCAGAAGTAATGCATCTAGTGCCAAGTTAAAGCGTTTTTGTTGTTGGGTTTTGCTCATCTCTTTTGTCATCAACAGAGCGATGCTCCATAACAGGCGAAGTTGTTTAAATAAAATACAATAAATTCACAGCACATAGACGTACGAGCGTAAATCAAAATAATATGTCTAAAAGCCAAGTGAAGACGCTACAGAGTTGAAGTATGTTTCATTGCTTGAGCTCTGCAATTGCCGACATGGCGATACGAGATATCTGCGCTGGTGTTGCCAGCTAAAAAAAGTGTTCACAATGCACCGCTCTGTACTGCCTGCGCACGACTGCGAGGTACAGCGAGAAGAGTTTGGGTGTGGGCCAATCGAGGCGGCACAAGCAGGGGGAAAAGCTGAGCAAGCTTTGGGAGTTCAATTTACCTTGGAACATGTGTTGAGAAATAGTAAGTCGCGCTGCATTCTTCGTGGTACTTGGGATTATATCTATAGATGAGTCTGTGACATCTGTTTTACGTCACACGTTACGGTTTTGCTTGAAAAGCTTAAATGGACAGGACTAACTGACTTAAATGACTAACTTACTAACTTAAATGGACTAACTGAACAGGTTCCCGAGGCCATAACACCGACATCACTGCGTCTTAGCGTTTCGCAGCATTGTTCACTGCACTGGCACATCGCTCCGCTGTTCATCTCCGTCCCTTGTCACTACAAGCGGTGCTTACCCTGAGGATAGAGAGCTCCGAAGTCTATACCAGGCTGTGCGGCAGTCGGCTCTGTTTCCGCCGCCCTCAGTAGCTGCAAGCGCAGCTGTATCTGCCGCACGCGCCGCCGCGTCCGACGCGCGCCCCCAACCACACAAGGCCTCCTCGCCACTGACAGGCCGGCCGCGTGTGTGGCGTCACGGACCACTAGAGGTGCAGGTTTACGCCAGCGGAGACCGGCCCGGATTAACCGTGCAAGATGCCGGGTTCGTAATCTTATCAACGACTGCGAATGCGTGCTAAAGTTCTGAGGTTTCGAAAGTTAAGAAGATGGCCTTTCGTAGCGTTCGTATGTCCGTCTGAACGTCCTTGACCGGTTGCATGACAGGCAAACATGCTGGCACTCTGTAGAGGCGAACAGAGGCAACGTTTCACAAGAACGTAAGCAGAAATTCGCACTGCGGAACACTGCTCAGAAGCCTTCACTGGAACCCCAATTCAGCGTTGGAGGTGCGCAAAATTACTTGCATGGCGTTAAGCAGCGTCGGCTGTTCTCGATCCTTCTTGCACCTGAAATCTGCGTTTTCCATGCCTCTGGAATTATAATCTCAGCGTTTCATGCGCATACCAAAACATGTAACTCATTTCACGAGGATAAGAGCACCCCGAGGGCGTCACAAGGACTACACCGCCTTCACTGCATCAAACCTGGCGTATTTGGTGCTACAGTAAACCTAATATGCTTGGTAAACTGGCTACCCAGTGAGTGTCAAGCTCATAGAGCAGGCTATGGGGGCCAAATTACCTGACGTCCTGCGTTATGGTTAACTGGTCAGCGTAGCCTGCTCCTGTCCTTATCTTCCCGAGCATAGATTGTTCTTGGTCTTCTTCTTCCGTTCTCCTTTCTTCCCTATCACCGGACTTGCGAGAGCGGGCGAGTGTCTGGTTCCCCTGCAAAGCCGCCCTTGAAAGCAGAGGCGCAGTCAGGATTTGTTGAAGATAAACCCGGAGCTCGGTGAGCACGCATCACGCCGACTTTCAACTTTCTGCGGGGAACCCTCTAGAGTGAAAATAAAAAATATGGTCTAAAGAGGGGGAGGGGCCCCTACCTTGGCTGTGCCTCTGCTCGGGAGCACATTCCTGCGCATGGGTGTAGACGGGCCCGCCGCGTCACTCCGCATTGCCGCGAAAGGTCGGACACCCCTGGTGGAGAGGGCGCTTGGCACCGCCGTGTGTACGGGGTTTTCCGTCGCGGGGTTTACGTGTACTGACGCGTGAGGCCAGAAGGCTGCCGGGAATCGCGTGGCGACCCGGCCAGCCGGTCCGACTGGTCGCGCCGCAACGGCGTCGGATCGGCTATCCGCGCCGCCAATATCGAGTACATGGATCGGCCAGGGCTCATTTCCACATTTGGACCGGGGGAAGTCCCCACTAAGCTGATGCTCACAGCGGCTGGCGACGAGTGATGTCTGGTGTGTGGCGTCTGCCACCCGGGACGACGGCTGGCTCGGAGCGCGGACGGTCTGGGCGCCGTTCCCCATTGTTAAACGCCGTTCACAAGTTGCAACCTATGACGTCGTAGGTGAGGGCATCGCAGCAGTTCCCTCGCCTTGGGACACAGTACCTTGTGTGTGACTTAGTCACTTGTTGCGTCATAAGTAACGTCCTCCGGTTGGTGCTTTGCCAACGAACTTTACCAAGATCTGGGTTCTGGTATCCCGAGAGAGGAAAACGACCAGACAGGGCGCGTGTGGGAGGGAGAAGGACGCCTCCCACTCCATCAATACTCGACAGTATATCGCCTTCCCCCCAGAGGCCAGGTGACGGTAGCGCGGGTCGCCCATGATTGACGGGGCATGCACTTGTTTAAAGATGAGCACTGACGGCGGCATTGGGCGGTACACAGACCGCTCATTTGGTGGGTCTGGGACCGGCCAAGAGCGCGCTGGCACTCAACAGCACGGCAGTGCATGGGATTTATGGGTGTTAGCTGTAGCACGTGGGAGCACCATGACCTGCTGCAGCGGACGGCGCTGTGGCTTGGCGCCTCGGAATGGCACTGTTATGTGGGGACCCGTGGCGTGCCGCCACCGACCCGGCGTCCTGTGTCATGGGAGGGACGACCGGTGAAGGACAAGGTCGGGAGAGGGTCTGAGGGGAGGGGCCTCAGTTGTAACCTTGGCTGTAGCTCGGACGATGGGACGGTGGGGGCGCGGTGTCGCTTGAGCTGCAGAACGCGGCCACCAGCAAAGTGACCGGGAAGTCGCGCCTACGGCATGCAATGGCTCGCCGCCGCGCCAGTCCGAAACGCCCGTCCGGTGGTCTTGCAGAGACACGTGCGAGCGGGCTCTGATGGAGCGGAGCCGGTAATCTGACCTTGCAGGCTCCTCGCCGGTCTCGCTGGCTCCCGAGACCCCGGCCGCGCAGACTTTTGGCTGTGCAGTGTCTGCCTGACCTCATAGTTTACAGACGTTACGCTTCATTGCATTTGATGGGCTTGGCCTGTATGCACCATTGTTTAGACCAGTGATGATCTAGTGGATGTTATGCATTCCTGACTTAACGTTTTGTTTTGGTAAACCGGGGAGCTGCATTTCAGTGAAGGCTTGGTTGCCTCATTAATCAACCATTATTAAATCACGTCCGTGTGTGTTTAGCAGGGAGCCACAGTTTTGCAGCAAAGGCAGCGTGCAGCTTTCTGAGTGTTGTATTTGCATAATTTTGTCTGCGACTGCAACTTCATAGCGGCGAACCCTGCGAATTTTTTTCACCATTAATGATAATTGTGATTGCCTGAATCATACCGTAGATGGTAAACCATAGATATCACCATGGTAGATCTACAGAAGCAATGTATTGTAGTGCTTATCTTTCTTTTCCCAGAAAGTTGAACTTAAATATATTTACGACTGCTGTTACAAACTGACAGCGGCATGTGGCGTGTTGTAACCATGAACTGCACATTAATTACCAAAGGTTGATTTTTAATTATTGCTGTGCCTTTAAAAAAAGAATCCACCAAAAAAGTTCGGTCACTAAGCGAGTTGCTTAAATCGTCCTGTCGCCGTGCGTGAATTTCACCGACGACGCTTTTATATATCTGCCTCCAGACTGCAAACACCAGATGACTTTATCGCTCTCATCTGCCCTGGTAGGGGTCACAGTCTAGTTGGAATGAGGGCCTCGTAGAAATGATGACAGGTGCAAAGCTTGAAACAAAACTGGCCCGCCAACTTTGCGTAGGCATTCCGGTATTTGCAGTCTGCTTGTTTGCGCGGAGTGAGAGGTCTTCATTTCTAAATTGATATCGATATTGCTTAAAATGAATATAGTTATGATTGTTTCTCTCCTAAAATGAAATTTAGACAGTTGACTGAGCCGGTACGTGGTAGATAACAGAGAAAGTCTCACAGAGGTGGGTACAGGATTTCTCAAAGAAAGTTAGGGCACAACTCCCAAATCGTGTTGTAAGCGGAGTTTATTGACGTGCTGGTGCGACAGTTTGTAATATGCTGTTAACTAACATCGCATTCTCTCACCTTTTTATTTTTACGCGTCTATTTGCCACGGACGCAGCCAGCATCCCTTAAGGGAGAGACCCTGATCTCTACAGCAACGTGCCACGCGAAGCGGCCATTTGGGGCATGTCAGGGGCCGTTTGTCGTAAAAAACGTTCGCTGCCTTGTGTACTCTGTCGACTTCACGCTGCTGATGCCTATGAAATCGCCGAGCCTGGCTGCACCATTTCATCATGATAAAAAATACTTATCACTACTCCATGCTGCAATTTTAAGAAAATTATAGGAAGTAGGCATACCGTTCGCTGATTACAAAACATCACATCGTCTCTCAAAACGCTTGGCTGAAAGTGTCATGGCCACCAGGCAGCGGCATTGTGAACATTAAAAGTCAGGTGCTAGCAATCCTAATCATCTTGCTAGATGCGCTGTTAGAGTTAGATGTTTTTTATGCATACTAAGGCTTCTATTTGCTAAAATGATTTACGCCTCGTCTTTAATTTCAAGGGAAGTTCTGTTATTAGCTTCGCAGTTCTGACAGCGGTGACTTACCTACATAAAGCAAGTTTCAGGGCGCAAAAATTCGCGTACTGGTCCATTTCGAGTCGCATTCAACTTCCGTATAACATTTAACGTTTCTTTCCTAAAAGCTCCACAATTGTATCACATAATCACAATTGCAAACTTCAGTCCCTAATCCTAGACCAAGCACGACATCACACACAAGGGAACTCTGCTTCACAGTGCATTAGCCGTGGTCATTTGGAGCTTGTTAGCTTCAAAATGTAAAATTCCTAAAAATGCGCACAAATTTTTGCTGCTGCTTAGCTGAGTTACCTCGCTTATTTTACATGTTACCACTACGACGCGAGGGTCTTATTTAGTACCCGATCTAAAGGGAACACCAGCTGGGTTAGACGGGAGCAAAGCTCATAAAATGCCACCTGGTCTGTCAAAAAGCCAGTAAGTTTATTCTCGAGAAACAATTTTACCTTTTGCCTTGTACTTCTTTGTCATTTCACGTTTGAGGTTTTAAATGTTTTAGTCTCATCGGATCAAACTTGCGAATTTTAATTTCGTCAATGACGAAAGCTACACAATGACGGAGCAGAAGAACCTCTTGCAGGAAAATTTACTGTTCTTTGTTGTTGTATTTATGCACCTTGTGACAACCCAGGGGCTCTGCTCCTGGCTATCCTAGTTGTTAAAAATTACGCATTTGGTACACTCCACATGGGGTTATTGTCTAATAAAAGCACAAAAAGGGTTGATGATAACAGCACTTCATGATGGGTCACGACACGGAGGCCTCACTAAGAGTGACAGCCATACCCAGCCCGACCTGATCTCACCACACTTCACCTCACCTCACCTCATGTGTCCTCACCTCCCGACCAGATCCCACCACACTTCACCTCACCTCACCTCATGTGACCTCACCTCCCGACCTGATCTCACCACACTTACCTCACCTCACCTTATGTGTCCTCACCTAACTTATGCGTAAACCTAGCCAGACTGAGCAAAATGGTATGAACAAGCTCAGTTAGACTACCACTGAGCCTCTTGCCGAATTCAAATGAGGCTATTGTATTGTAAATAGGGGTATTGTATTGTAGCAAGCTGTTGTAACAGCAATTATTT